TTGGAATGCCACGTTGGAATGCCACGTTGGAATGCCACGTTGATGGACCACTCAGCCAGAACTCCCGGGGAAAACGGGATTTGAACCCGTGACTTCTGCTGGGAATGCCACGTTGGACAACTCAGCCATACCGCAAGGGGAAAACGGGATTTGAACCTGGGATCTCTGTTGGGAATGCCACGTTGGAATGCTACATTTGCAATCTCACCTTGGGAGTTCTCCATTCCTCCTACTTTCATCTTAGTTTTGGTGTTTTCCGTACGACCGTCATGCCACCGTGGAATGCCGTATTGCAGTGGCACCTTGGAATACGACCCGTCTGCACCCGAATACAACGCACGGTTATTAATAGCTGTATTTGGGGCAACTTCGAGTCTAGATACAGGGATAATAATCGGACGTTGAATTCGGGTGAAGACGCCTTGGAATGCCACCTCGGATAATCGCCTAGGAATGCCATGCCACCTTGTCCTCCTCATTCATGTGCGTCTCGATGTTCTCGTCATCTGCATCGCCTTGTATTGACCTGATAGAAAATCGAAAACAGGTTGGGGAAAGAGAGGCCATTGGGCTGCTATGCCCTCCTCCTCCTCCTCCTCCTCCACCTCCTCCTCCTCCTCCTCCTCTCTCTCGTTGCAATACCCCCTCTTCCCCGTCGTCATCATCATTAGTATCGTTGCAGCGCTCCTCCTTTTGTCATTCACGTCGCCGTTCTTGTTGTCGTCAAGAAGATTTGAAAGATGAGGAGAAGGGGGCTTTCAGATTGAGTGCAGAGGAGGAGAGCCCGGCTTAAAAGCAGCAGCAGCAGGAGGAGGAGGAGGAGGAGGAGGAGGAGGAATAAGAGGAGGAGGAGGTTTAAGCGGCAGAGTTCATGAAACCCTGGATGTCTCTCTTTTTCTACCGTCTTCCCCCGAATAGAACGTAGGGTGATTATAGCTGCATTTAGGGCAATTTTCAGTCTAGATACAGCGATAATGACCGTATGTTGTAATTGGGGGGAAGATGGTAGTCAGATTGTGAATATCTTTGATGTATATCTTTGATACATGTTTTATTTTTCTTTTCTTTCCAAAAAAAGAAAGAATAAGCCTGTGAT